TCCAAGGCAACCAATGCTATCTTGAGTTGTATCGATGACGAACAATTCAAATTGATATCAATGTGCAAATCAACAAAGGAGGCATGGGATGTTCTACAAGAGACCTACGAAGGAACTACTCTGATAAGCAAGTGCAAAGAGACTGCTGCTGAAACTGTTGCAGTAGTTGGACAGACAGTTCAAACAGAACTCAGTTATGATAATTTGCCTTCAATAGACGACAACGATTCAACTCCCTTTATTCTTGTAGGTGATGATGGGGATTCAGAAAACATTAGTGATGATGACGAGACAACCTTGGAAGAATTAAAGAAGTGATACGAAAGGATGTACGAAAAATTTCTTCAGGTATGCGAGTCGAATAAATTCTTAGAAAAAGAGAAGCTTGTCCTAATCGAGGAAAACAAAGTGTTGAAGGTAAGAATTTCTACTCTTGAACAAAATGTTGTTTCTGCTAGTAGAGAATCAGATAGTTTGAAGGCTAAATTTGTTCAAACCCAAGATGTTATTTCTAAGTTTAATAGTGGTAGAGTTACTTTGAATGAAATTTTGAACAAAAATCAGCCGAACTATAGTCGTATAGGTTTAAGGGGTAATCAGCTATCTAATGATGCATTGAAACAGAAAGAAGATTCAAAAAGAAAAAACAATTTTGTTAAACAATCCACTGTTTTACAAACTGTTGCGACAGTTGCATCAACACAGTCATCTCCAAGAAAACGTTTTGTCCCTACCTGTCATTTTTGTCATGTTCCTGGCCATATACGACCCAGGTGTTTTAAGTACTTGAAAATGGTTAAAAGAATAATGGCCCGCTCACCACTTTCCGCTAAAATTGATCACACTTTTGTGTCGTCTCAAAAACCCAAGATAAAGGTTGATTTAGTGAATAAAACTCAACAAAAAATCTGGGTAAAGAAGTCTGATCTTAATTGTTTATCTACCATTACTTCTTTAAACTCATGTGATGATAGTACTAACTGTTCCAACAGTTCTGGTGACAAAGCTAGTTTGGGGAATAAAAACTTTGTTAATCTGAATTGTGATCATTTGTGTGCGAAAAATAAGTTTATGAATCCAATTCAGCATTCGAAAACTAAGCTTACTGATATTTGTCATCGTTTCATAAGGGACTTG